CCTAGAAACTGAACTAAGAAATGAACCCGAAACTGAGACTTTTAATAGTGAAACAACTAAAACCATTTTGCCAAATCGAACCAACAGGGGAAAACCAAGAAAGCAGTATGAACTTGACGTAAGAGCTAATTCAAGGTATCCAATTAATAATTATATTTCTACTCATAATATTTCAGGTCCATATGCCCTAATTGTTGATCAATTATCCGAAGTTTTTGTTTCAAGTAATGTGCAAGAAGCTTTGGCTGATCCTAGATGGAGGAAGGCAATGATTGAGGAGTTAGAAGCATTACAGAAGAATGGAACCTGGGAAGTTGTTACATTGCCTGATGAGAAACGAATTGTTGGTTGTAAATGGGTACTTACAGTGAGGTTAAAGCCTGATGGAAGTAATGATCACTTTAAGGCAAGGCTAGTTGCTAAGGGTTTCACTCAGAAATATGGGGTTGATTATCAAGAAACCTTTGCACCTATACCAAAACTCAACACTATAAGAAATCTAATCTCTGTTGTTGTTAAGGATTGGATTTTGAAACAGTTTGATGCTAAAAATGCTTTCCTAAATGGAGGATTAGAGGAGGAAGTTTTTATGGCTTATCCACATGGTGTAAATGAAAATCTTAAACAAGAAGGCAAAGTTTGTAGGCTTAAGAAATCTCTTTATGGCTTGAAACAGTCTCCTAGGGCATGGTTTGGAAAATTTAGTGGCGAAATGAAGTCTGTTGGATATAAACAAAGTAATCATGATCATACTATGTTAAGCTTTTAAGTAAAAACATAATAATATTATATAAAAGCCAATTTAGATAAATTAAAAATTCTAGAAATCTTAGTGAAAATTACAATAAAAATACTATAAAAATTAACACTATCAGAAAACTTTCGATATGAAAGACTTGGGAAATTTGAAATATTTTCTGGGAATTGAAGTGGCTAGATCAAAAAAGGGAATTTTCTTATGTCAACGGAAACATGTGTTAGATATATTAGCTGAAACAGGTATGCTAGACTGTAAGCTAGCCGAAACACCAATGGAAGTAAGTAGCCATTTTGAAAGTGGATCGAAAGAGAGATATGATGATGTGGGGCGATATCAAAGGCTAGTAGGGAGATTGATTTACTTAACACACACTAGGCCTAACATTACTTTTGCAGTTAGTAAGGTCGGCCAATATATGCATGAACCACTTGAAAAGCATATGGAGGCTGTGTTTTGAATTTTGAGGTATTTGAAAGGACTCCAACAAAGGGGATTTTATTTAAAGACAATGGAAACTTGGATATTACATGTTTTACTGATGCAGATTGGGCAGGAGACAAAGATACTAGGCGTTCTACCTCAGGGTATCTTATTATGATTGGTGGAAACTTAGTATCTTGGAAAAGTAAGAAACAAAAAGTTGCTGCAAGATCAAGTGCAGAAGCAGAATTCAGGTCACTAGCCTAAGGGCTGTGTGAACTGATTTGGACAAAAGAAATCGTGAAAGATTTGGGGTTCGATTCAACCAAACTGATGGACTTAATGTGTGATAATCGAGCTACAATCCAAATTGCAAAAAATCCAGTTCAGCATGATAGAACAAAGCACATAGAAATTGATAGACACTTTATTAGAGAGAAGATTGATCAAAGATTGGTCCAATTGGTATTCATTAAGTCAGAAGATCAACTTGCAGACGTGTTAACCAAAGCAGTTAATGGAAGAAGTCATCATTCTGCATGTAGAAAATTGTGTATATTCGATATCCATACTAAAATTGAGGGGGAGTGTTAGCTAGAACAATTTTACCATGTTATAATATTAGAATTAGTTTGTTTTAGATGATAATTATCATTGTAACAGATTTGTCTTTATCACTTTGTTAGAGTTAGAGATAAAGTCAAAGTAGTTAGGGGGTTAATAGATACCTTTTGTACCTGTACGTATGAAGGAATGAGATGAGAATATTTTCCTCTACAATTTCTCTCTAAGTTTTCTACACTTGTAGTATACAAATTCAATAATGACAAATAGACCAAATGAGGATGTAGGTGCATTTACAATCGGGAAAAAGAAAAAGACTCTCTCTCTCTCTCTATATATATATATATATAGGTGGGCAAGATTAATATTGTCAAAATGCCTTTACTAAGTTTGACAAAAATATTATTAACGATTTTATTTGATTTGTTGAAAAACCAAAGGTAATTTTGATTGACATATTAATTTTCAATTTAAATCTAAATTATATTGGATAAAATAAGAAATTATATTAAATAGTGTCGGACTATATTTATATGATAATTTAAACCTACTAATCTATGTCTGCTATACTACATACTTACGTACTATATTTCACAATGGGTTGTACTTAATATATTATTGTCACAAATTTGCTATATTTATATTTTCCTATATTTGCGTACTTCCATGTGACGTCTTGAATTGTTTTTGGTAACATAAATACTTCTTTATACAACAATATTTTTTCATATTTTCAATTTTCCTTATAAACAAATATTTTTAATATAATTTGTAATTTAAAAATGTTATTTTTTACGTGATAACATAATTATTCAGATAAAAAACCTTATATATGAAGAAAAGTAGTTAACCAAATATAGGTTTCTTTTATAAAAAAAATAAATTAAAACAAATTTAAATAAATAGTTTTTTTAGTTATATTTATATTTTTAATTAATTTATAGAATTCCCATGAGAATTCTATTAAATTTCCATTTTAATTAAAGTTTAATAAGATTATTTTATCACCATTAAACATTTAATTATTTTGATTCTAATATTTAAATTCTATATATGCTAGCTATAAACTACTGTCATACTTATGTCGAAATTTGCTATATTTATATATTTTTCCATATTTCCTAATTTATTTTTGGTAATTATACTTATATTTCCAATAAATTCTCAATATAGTGCTCGATTCATTACTGAATTCCGCATTCAACTAACCTAGCTAGCATCATGCCCCATTTTTAGAAGCCTTGCTAGCTTTATTTAGCCCTCTCTTTGAATTTTCTAGTTTGTGAAATATCACATAACAATTAAATTAAAACTTTTAAATATAGTTATATTTGGTTTTTTAAATAAATATTTTTAATTAGTATAGGAATTATCAATTAGAGATTGTATTAAATTCCACTTTATTCAATTTTCCATGAGTTTATATTTGTAGACCATTAAAATTTTTTTATTTATTGTGTAATAGTTACAGATATTTTGTTTCAATTTATTTGTTTGCAAAAGATTTAATTTACATATATGTTAACTAATTTTATTTATATTTTAATTATTCTTTGCAATTTTGTAATAAATTACAATCATATCTAAAATGTCAATTTTGTTTAATAAGAATTTAATTTTTAATTAAAAGTTAAAATTTTGATATATTTAGTCTTCTTTCTTAATTTTGCAACAAATTATTGCATCAAAATGGATGAGATTTCAGACAACGATACACCATTTCCGCATAGAGCTGGATATCGTTTTCTGATTCAATATTCGTCGAATTGGAAAGAAGAAGATGGGGTTGATATAGAGAATCAAGTGAATTTGTTAAGAAAATTGTACGATTCAAGGGCTCCATATGTTAGCAAGAACCCTAGAGAAGCATTTCTTAATTATAGAGATCTCGACATTGGAAGCAATCCAAGCAATTTCACAAAATTTCAGACAGCTGAAATTTATGGACACAAGTATTTTAAGAACAACTTTTGGAGGTTAGTACAAGTGAAGACTAGAGTTGATCCAGATAATTTCTTTAGGCATGAACAAAGCATACCTCCTCTTAATAAATTGTCATAGATATTCGATAAATAATTTATTATATATAACCTCCTTTTGTACTAAGTGGTGATCCGATCTTGTTGTTTTGTTTCTCAGGAGGAAGGAAGAATAATAATATTCAATATATTAATAGTATAATAAAATATTTAAATTTTAAATATTTATACAAAGAAACTTTTACCTATACCTAGTGTATGAACTAACTTATAAAACTAATAAGGGTTTCCGGCTTTTCAATAAGACAAAATGACAAAATAACATGAAATTTTAATAGTTTTCCTTAGATGTCAAATGAGTGTATCATTGTCTTTCCATCGGGGAAAAATGATAAACTAGTAAAAAATTAGAAAATTACTTAATTACTTCACTTATGCATAAATCAATCAATAATTTTTAGGGAAACAATTAACTAGATCAGGTTTATGGTCATTTATGGACCAAACCAATGAAATTAAGGATTCTTATTGAAATAATGATATTTCTAACTATATATTTGAAAAAAGTGATAAAATCGGAACACTTTTTAAAAAATCATTTGTTTCATTTATTTGGTTTATAAATAGGGTTATGGATCCAGTTTAATTTCCTAACTTTTATTTCAAAAATTTTTTATTGTTTTTTTTTTTAATCTTTTTTGCTCTTGGTAAAATGATAAGTAATTTCCTCATATATCTCGTATTGGTGTGTGGGTGGATTCGTACATTAATGGTAGACAAGTATTATCTAAAAAATTATAGTAGTTTTTGAAGGGATAGACTTGCTTAGATGAGCCTCACCTATATATGTACTAAACTAATAATAATTTTGTTAAAACAAGATATTTTTTAACATATACCATATACCGAGAGGAAAAAAGAATAAAGTAAGAATAATTTTTAAAAATTTTTACTTTCATTATTTTGATTTATAAGAAGAGCCATGAACTTTATAAATAATTATTCAGTATGGCTTGATATATGAGCCCTCCATATAAAGGTGTAGGTAAATTTTTTCCAATTTTCAATTGCAAGACAATAAGGTTTCTGTTAAAAACCCAACTACCAAGCAATGAATACACACCGTTTTGATCCACGGTAAGGAAATGCTTCGATAAACGAACTTTGTAGAACTTCAACCATTGAGATAATCGGCTAAGTGAATCGAACTGTCGATCGGTTGTCCACAAAACAGAAAGGGAAAAATTGGAATGTTAGAATAAAAACGACAAAGGATGTATATTTCAAGTCTTCTTATATATGCAGATGATAAACGACTGTCAATATATATACATATATAAAAATTTTAGGTCCAAAGCCTTAAATTTCATCATCTGGCTCTATTAACTAGTACCAGTAACAAGCACATAGCCAGTTAAATTATCGTATACAAAGGTAATAAAAGAACCGATAAAAATTAAGCTTGAGGCTCCTTCTTCATCTGCACCATGGCTGGACTCTCAGAGCAGAAAGATTGATTTGACATTTTCTCGTAAATTGAGTTGCTGGGATGTGAACCACACGCTTTAGGTGTAGGTTTGCCTTTGTACGATTTGCAGACATAAGCTACGAAATTTCCATAGTCCTGCAGGCATAACACGTATCATGTTCATAAAAAAGGGTAAAGAAAAATTACTGCCGTGAGGAAGGGAATAAACAGAAGGAGAAATAAATAAAAGCTACTATTACCTCAAGCAGAGGTGTTTCATTCACAACTACCCATGGAACGTATTTGTGAGGAGGATTAAGATTATCTGTTTTGCTTCCATATTGCAGTAAAAGCTGCATTTTGGCTCAAATCAAGTCAGATCGTGGACCACTGAGTACAGAAGGTCAAGAATTTAAACTGTGACTGCTCTGTACAATTTTGACCTTAAAAAATAAAATGGGAATGAAACTGAATCACTAAATTTAAGAGTGAACCGAACAAGACATGACCAAAAAGAAAAAGGCAAGTGGAAGTATTGATATTGTCCTAATCCATAAAATTACCCTTCAACTTCAGAGTTTTATTCCTATGTATTTCAAAATTTTCGAGACGTTTCATATACATTGAAGTTGTAATTTTTAGTAACAATCTTGCACTTTGGATGATTGTTGTAATTTTTACTAATAACTTTTAGAGATCCATCGAGCCCTGAAAGTGCTTATTTATAAAAATATTCCAACTTAAGGACATAATAAATCTCTCGTCTAAATTTCAAAAGACAACTTAATTTATTTATGTATTAATCCTATTTATATCAGTGAAAGAATAAATAGATTAATCATTACCGAACCTGTTTTCCTCTTCCGCTGTCGTAGCAATCCTTAATGGCTTCACTAGAAAACTTTAACTGTTGAGCACACAATTTCCAAGATGCCTCTGCTCCATTTTGAGCAATAATTGGAGGAGAAGATTGCTCTTCTATGCACTTAATGAACTTGAAGTGCTTCATCTGTTAGTGGATTAAACAAGAAATTAGAATTACAAAAGGATTTTTTAACCCCCAATTTTTAGGTCTCAGGATCAAATTGTGTGCAAATTTATTAAAAAAAAAAAAAAAAAAAAAAAAGAAATTAGAATTACAAAAGGATTTTTTTAAAAACGCCCTGCAATTTTTAGGTCTAAGGATCAATTGGGTGTTGGCCAAATTATATATATATTATAATAAAAAAAAAAAAAAAAAAAAAACGGAAGAAGAAGAAGAAGAAGAAGAGAGAGAAGAAAAGCTGGCTTACCACATCTGGCAAAATGTTAATTATGCAAGCGTGAATGGTATTAAGGTAACATTCATCTTCTCCATGCTGTAAAAATACCAAAGGAGATAACGACTGTATTCAAAAATTAATCAAAAAAATACAAGCAAGATTGCGAATTGGAATCTTGAAGATGGAGATTTCACCTGGCAAATGATGGTGTTGTTGGATTGTCGTATAGCATTGCCCCAAGGAATCAGCTTAAGATCAAGAATGCTCATTAGATCAGTCTTGACAACCTTTGCCAAGTCAACCACAATAAAATTCCTGCAATATGGACAAAGAGTTTCATAATACAAAGAAAGAGCAACTTTCTTGGAATTAAGAACTTGAGGAGCTGGTTCTACGGCAATTTTGTTTCTTGAACAAGAGACAAACAAGAACAAGAGAGAACTGTAGATAGAGAAACAGAGTACTTTTCTGGAACCCATTTTCTTTGTTCTTTTACAGCTTTTAGTGCTCTGAAAGTTTCAATGTATAGACTTCTAGTAACTGCTGTATGGCTTTCGTACTCCACTGTTGGTTAAGTTAGGCAAATATTTTGGTTTGGACTTTTGCGTATGGGACATGTATTTACCATCGGTGTAGTTATAGGCAACAAATTTCCAAGACATATTCACAGTTTAAACAATCTTAACCAATAATGCCTATGATATTAATGCTCTGTCAAGATTAGTTGAAATTTTTAAATGATGTGTTGCTATCCGCATAGGAAAATATAATCGTAATCTGATATATATATATATATATATAAAATATAATCGTAATCTGATATATATATAATATATATATAATAGTATAACTTTGGTTTTGGAAAGTCATCAAACCAAATAATATGGCAAGTAGCAAATTGATGACATTGTCAGTCTTTCTTCTTTCGCATTTAAAAGAATAATCTGATCTCTCATGTGTTGATGCATATATAACTTTGTTTTGAGTCATCAAACAAATAATATGCAAGTAGCAAATGATGACATTGTCAGTCTTTCTTCTTTCCATTTAAAAGAATAATCTGATCTCTCATGTGTTGATGCACAGTAACTGCCCCACCATTTCTGATCTCAACTTGCAAATTAGGTAGGTGCTGAAATTGAGACCAAATGAGGGTGGAGCAGCTAGTTGTCAATTCTTGAATGCCTGCCTCATATAAGAAGTTCATAGACTTGGAATTCTTTTTAAAAATATCTTATGTTCTTGACTTTTAAAAAAAATAAAAATTCATAATCATAATTTTCTTAAATCATATCAAAATCCTGGGTTTGCTAAATGGCAAGATTCAATTCCTTGTTAAAAGAAATTTGTTATTAATTAAAAACAAGTGTGGTCGTTGAGCCCAACACTCTTCCCATAGGAGAAGCCGCCCATTTTTCCCCAACGAAAAAAACGTCTCTCTAATAGCTACATTAACCTGTTTTCTCCTGCAATATTAGCTTTTGCTTTATTGATGATAAATAGTTAAAATGATGAATGAAATGGAAGATGAGAACAGTTCCGTGGACTTTGACATGCAATTGATAGGGAATTTCTTGAGTTTCGCATCAAGAGGAGATAGGATTGGACTGAATCAGATGTTGAGAGCTGGTACTTCTCCTAATGTTCAAGATTATGATAAGAGAACTGCTTTGCATCTTGCTGCTAGTGAAGGCCATGCTCCTATTGTTGAGCTTCTTCTTCATTACAATGCTAATGTCAATCTCAAGGATCGCTGGCAACGCACTGTACAACCTTATTTACTCTCAATCTATTTACTCTTCAAGATTTTAAAATTTGAAAAGCAGTAATTGATTCAGTCTCTTTTGTTTGGTAATATTGTTATTATTAAGCCCTTGACAGACGCAAGACTGTATGGACATAGGGATATATGTAGAATTCTGGAAGTACATGGAGGCAAGGATTTTATCAATGATCAACCAATGGTAACATCTTCATCTTCTTCAGAGAGGGTTCGTGACACTACTTCTTCTGATTTTTTAACTTGTTCTTCACTTCTGCAGACAGTTAGACATGAACAAGACTGCAACGAATTGAATTTCGACATTTCAGAACTGAACACAATTCAATCATCAACAGTTGAACAGGTACATATATACTATAAAAGATTGTTCAGTTATTAAATTCATAAAATTTTGTATATACTTCCTTAAGAAATTAATTAATTGGTCGTGGAAATTCTCTCTGATAATTACAAGGGGGTGTATGGTGAATCCGTCAAGGTCAAATGGCGTGGAACGTGGGTTGTTAAAACTGTGATTAAGAGTCAGATTTACCTTCCTGAAAAAATGTATGCTTAACTATACCTTTCCTTTAATATTATAATTAAGGAGATTTAATTCGTATAATTCCAGGTTTTTTTTTTTTTTTTTTGAGAAATTACATGCAGGATTTTGTCCGCCAAGGATAACACTCTCTTGCGAGAACTTCGGCATCCTAACATTTTGCAGTTTCTTGGTTCGATTGTTCATGGGGACGAGATGATTCTGATTACTGAGTATCTTCCAAAAGTATTTTCTACTCAAGAATCTTTTTATATTTTTCAATTGTACTTTATTGTGGTTTTTCATTTATACCCTAATTTTAAAATTTAGTATTAACTAAAATGTGCTTAAGCTTAATTATCAAGTATCAACGAATGCAGGGGAATTTAGATGATCTTTTGTCCAAAAAAGGACGACTTGACCTGCCTATTGCTCTACGTTATGCGCTTGACATTGCTAGGTGATTTTACTTTTGTTGCTCTCCGGCTCTACTTTCATATTATAGCAATTTTCTTTACCAATTTTTGATTAAAAACTAAAAATTTGTTTAATGACTTAAAAAATTTTTGTAGGGGAATGAATTATCTTCACGAGCACAAGCCCTTGCCTATAGTTCATAATCATTTGGATCCCAGGTCAACTTTTTTTTCCTTAAACATTATATTTTGACAGTCGTAAATGAGTCGAGTCAAATTTGATTACCATAAATAAATCAAATTTAAGCTCGAAATCTATCGTATCAAAAGGACATCAATATAGTTTTAATTAATTTTGACTTATTGAATTATCTCATGGGATAAATTCGCTCGACTCAATAAAATTAGCTTATGAGCTTGGCTCGACAAGCTTATGAAATGAGCTCGAGTTCTACTCGTTTATTAAAATAGCTCGATAGCTCAACTGGAGTTCAACTCGATAAGTTATCGAACGAGCTCGAACAACTAATAAGCGGTTTGTCTCATTTGCAACTCCGCATTTAGTGGTATATACGAATTTTATATTTATTTATTTCACATAATTAAATAAAATTATACTATTTATAAATAAAATATTATACATTAAAGATTCATGTATACCAAATAAGAAATTAATTAAATAAAAATTTGATGGCGAGTGTTATTTTTTTGGATGTAGAAACTTGTTACAGGATGAAGCTGACCACTTGAAGATTGGAGAGTATTGGGTTCAAATGTTGTACAAACAAATTCATCCAAACCAAGACATGCGTATGTTATCGCCTTTTTATTCCATTTAACCTATTTACCATTCCAGTGAAAACCTATTTATGTACTTTCCTTTTTATATTTTTAACTTTGCATTTAGCAATCCAAAATACTAATTTTATGTTATTGCCCCACTTTTCACTTTACTTTTCCTAATTGCTATTGTATCTGAAGAGCCTTTTTACTCTTGAAGGCCAAAGAAAGGATGATCCCAGCAGCACCAGCAACAAATCAAACGACACCAGGAAAGATCTTTGCAGCTTTGGACTTATATTTTATCAGGTACATATTTCAATAATTCTTTCTACCATTATTAATTAGAGAGAAAAACTTTATACTAAAACATAATATATATATATATATTACAGATGCTAGAAGGAAGACACCTGATGACCAACATGAAGACTGATTTCATGCATCTTAAATCTGTTGATTTTTATCCCAAGTTTCAGATAAGCCGTTGTCCTAAAAGAATTCAACAGTAAGCCATTCTCAAATTTCATTTTACTAATTTTACTTCTATGGGGTAGTCTGTTTTTTTTTTTTTTTTTTTTTTTATTTTCATTTTACTTAATTTACTTCTATGGGGTGTGCTGTTTTTTTTTTTTTTTTTTTTTTTTTTTTTTTTTTTTTTATCGGACCTTGAATTACTCGATTAGATAATAATAAAATAAACTTGTTTGTTTGAACTGAAATGATAAGCTAAGCTACTTGTTTGCATTAAAAAGTTTCTTTTTACAGGTTATTCAATAAGTTATATAACTTATTATAACAACAACTAGCATCGCCCTTACAATTATAAAATGATATCATAATTCATTTCATTTCTTAGTCATTGAGCAATTCATTTTATCATATCACTTTTTAATCATTCAGCTTAATATGTCGTTGATTCAGATTTAGGGTTCAGAATTTAATCCAAATAAATGCACCATAACTCAATTAAAATAAGTTTTACCTTTTGTAGGAAATGTAATTAACATGCATTATTATTATTTTTTTTGCAGACTGATAGAAGATTGCATAAGCAAAGATCCTAATCCAAGGCCTTCATTTGGTGCTGTTATAGAAATTTTAGAAGAAGTTTCCACCAGTCTAGGGAGAGGTGCATGCCCTGTTTGCTAAGTCAGTTCATAATGTTGTTCAGGATGCAATAGTTACTTGTACATTGTGCCATAATTGGTTGTACAATTCTGAATATGCAAACGGACAGCCCAAGCCCAAGCGCAAACCCAACTGCTTGACTAATTAAGGCTTTTCTGCTAGTTCTAAGTTATAGATTTTTTTGCGTTTCCTTTCCAAGGAATTCTCTCTCATTTCTATTAAAAAATAAAAATCTCTCATTTGACTTTTTTTTTTTTACTTTTTTTTTTTTTTTTCTGTTGGTGTTGTTTGCTCAAAGTGATTATTAAACGGAAATAGGTCACATGAAAACATATTTATTAGGCAAAAATTATTGATTTGTTTCAAAAAAAAATTTTTTTACCCAATAAACAATCAATAATTTTTTTTTCCATATATTGAAACTCAAATTTGGTTTCTCCAAAATAACATAAAATAAATATATAATAATGTGTGCGCATATATAATTTTGTAATAAGGAGTGCAAATGAATTTTCACATATTCTATTTAATCCACCAATTTAATCTAACATTCAAGAAATAAAATATCTCTTACCGAGTCATACCATGGAAAATAGTTTTAAAAAATTCATATAAATTTCTATTGATTGGTTGTAACATTGAAAATTAATTTTAAATATAAAATTTTTAATTAACCTAAGGACCTATAATGTAATTTTTGTTGAATAATTTAGTTTAATTGTTACTGTTATTAAGTTGTTTTCAATGTTTGTTTTCTTAGTCAAAGCTTTGTCCTATTCTCTAGGAATTTTGTTAATAATGTTCAGCAGAACATAGTCATGTTGCAGCAAATTTCTCTTTCAGTTAAGATTTTATTTTGCTCTTTGTAAGCCTATATAAAGGCTGTCATCTTGCTTAATTGGCTGTCATCTTGCTTAATTATATATCAGTTCTTTGAGCATCTCTTCTCTCTTTTATTTTTGTTTATTTCCTATCAGTTTATCAGTGGTATCAGAGCCTTGAGCCTGATTCAAAGAGAGAAAAGAGAGCCTAAGAGAGTGAAACACGTGAGGTTAGAGAGAAAAAGAGCAGCAGCTTTATTATTTGTTTCATGGCTACAGAAACAAATTTTGTGCAGGCAGCAATTCCACATTTTGATGGCCACTATGATCATTGGAGCATGTTGATTTTTGATGGCCACTATGATCATTGGAGCATGTTGATGGAAAACTTCCTGCGTTCAAAAGAATACTGGACAATCGTCGAAAACGGAATCTGTGCACCAGCAGAAGGTGAAACTTTGACAGATGCCCAAAAGACAGAGTTTGAAGCAAGAAAGCTGAAAGATTTAAAGGCGAAGAATTATCTCTTTCAAGCTATTGAACGTTCCATATTGGAAACTATTCTTTGTAAAGAAACTTCCAAGGATATATGAGATTCAATGAAGAAGAAGTATCAAGGCACAGCTAGAGTCAAACGTGCCCAGCTTCGAGCTTTGAGAAGAGACTTTGAAACTCTGCAGATGAATGATGCTGAATCTGTAACTAGCTATTGCTCTAGAATTATGGAGATATGCAACAAGATGCGATTCCATGGTGAGAAGATGGATGACGTGACCATTGTGGAGAAAATTTTACGCTCTCTAACGCCAAAGTTTGACTATGTTGTGTGCTCTATTGAAGAGTCAAAAGACATAGATCTAATGTCCCTCGACGAATTGCAAAGCTCTTTATTGGTGCATGAGCAGAAAATGAACCGAAGTTCAAACATGGAACAGCAAGCTTTGAAAGCTTCTACCTTTATTCCTTCCTCAAATTTAAGAGGTAGGGGTAAAGGGAGAGGTAGAGGAAGAGGAAGAGGAGGTCGAGGCAATGGTAATAGTAGCAGAAATTATAAAGGTGATGAGCAGAACAAAGGAAGAGGACATGATCAACAATATGACAAATCCAAAATTGAGTGTTATAGGTGTCATAAATTTGGTCACTATCGCTCCGAATGTCAGACCAAGTTGCCAAATGATATTGATAAAGGACAGTAGTCGAATTATGCAGAAAATGATAAAGGAGAAACCCTTTTGATGGCTGTTCAAACAAATGATAAACCTGACTCCGATATTTGGTATGTTTATACCGGTTGCAGCAATCACATGTGTGGAAGTAAGTCTTCTTTTGCTTATTTAAATGAAAAGATAAACCTGACTCCGATATTTGGTATGTTTATACCGGTTGCAGCAATCACATGTGTGGAAGTAAGTCTTCTTTTGCTTATTTAAATGAAAATTTTCAATCTACAGTAAGTTTTGGTGATTTATCTTCTGTAGATGTGAAGGGGAAGGGTGACATTAACATTAGAACCAAGAATGGTTTTATAGAAAAAATAGCTAATGTGCTTTATGTTCCTAGCTTGAAAAACAATTTATTAAGTGCTGGGCAGTTGCAAGAAAAGGGTTATATAATCACTATTCAAAATGGAGCCTGTGAAATATATGATCCTTCTAGAGGAGCCATTGCTGTGGTTCCAATGAACTCAAAAAGATTGTTCCCTTTGAAAATTGAATGTGTTCAATCTTGCTTTATTGCTGAAGTGAAAGAGATTTCCTAGTAGTGGCATTTTCGTTATGGCCATTTAAGTTTCAATGGATTAAAAACTCTTTATCAAAAAAATATGGTAAGTGGACTCCCTCAAATCAATGCTCCATCAAAAGTTTGTGAAGAATGTGTTGTTGGTAAACAACCTTGTTCTCAATTCTCTTAAGGAAAGTCATGGAGAGCGAAAGATGTTTTGGAGCTGATTCATTCCGACATTTGTGGACCAATAAAACCATTTTCAAATGGAGGTAAAAGATATCTAATTACTTTCATTGATGATTATAGTCGGAAAACGTGGGTTTATTTTTTACAGGCAAAGTCTGAAGCTTTTGGAATTTTTAAAAGTTTCAAGGCCCGTGTTGAGAAAGAAAGTGGGAAAGCAATATGGGGAAATGCATAAATATCTCTTCGGCAACGGATCGTTGGTGGGTGGAGTATTGCTCAAATGGGGTTGAGAAAGAAAGTGGGAAAGCAATAAAATCTCTTCGCACGGATCGTGGTGGTGAGTATTGCTCAAATGACTTTGAGAGTTTTTGTGAAGCTCAAGGGATCCGTAAAGAGCTTACCACTGCTTATACACCACAGCCAAACGGTGTATCCGAAAGAAAGAATAGAACCATCCTTAACATGGTGAGATGCTTGCTTGCTAGGGGAGGAATTCCAAAGACTTTTTGGCCTGAAGCTGTTTGGAGCGTTCATTTACTGAACAGAAGTCCTACTTTTGCTGTTAAAAATATGACACCGGAAGAATCTTGGAGCGGCAGAAAACCAACTGTGGATTATTTCAAAATTTTTGGGTGCATAGCATATGCACATATCCCAAATGAAAAAAGAAAAAAACTTGATGACAAGAGTGAGAAGTGTATTTTTTGGGTGTTAGTGAGACATCCAAAGCATTTAAATTGTTCAATCCATTGACAAAGCAGATTGTGACCAGCAGAGATGTGGTTTTTGATGAAGAAAGCATTTGGGATTGGAATGGGCAGCAGCCAACTCCAATTATTCTTGATGATGAAGTCACAAAAGAGGAGCAACCAACTGAAATTTCAGAAAATAATGTTCCCACAGCTGAAGAAAGTTCAGTAACTTCTAAAATTCATTCCCCAACAAGTGAGGCAGTAGCAGATTCATCTCAATCTTCCCTACGTACACGAAAAAGGCCTGCTTGGATGAAAGATTATGAGGTAACTGGAGTAAATCACAATGAAGAATCTGTCACTCATTTTGCTTTGTTTGCAGATTGTGATCCCACAACTTTTGAAAGTGCTGTCAAAGAATCTAAATGGAGGGAGGCAATGGATGATGAGATTGAAGCCATCGAAAGAAATAATACTTGGCAACTTTGTGACCTTCCAAAAGGGCACAAAACTATTGGTGTAAAGTGGGTTTTCAAAACTAAATTGAAGGAAAATGGTGAAGTTGACAGGTATAAAGCGCATTTGGTGGCAAAGGGATACAAGCAAGAGTATGGGGTTGATTACACTGAAATTTTTGCTCCAGTTGCACGACATGATACAATTCGTTTGGTAATAGCACTGGCAGCACAAAATTCTTGGCCTATTTTCCAATTGGATGTCAAATCCGCTTTCTTGCACGGTAATTTGGAAGAGCAGGTATTTATTGATCAACCCCCTGGTTATATTAAGATTGGACATGAGCATAAGGTCTATAAATTAAAAAAGGCTCTTTATGGATTAAAACAAGCCCCACGGGCTTGGTATAGTCGCATCGAAACTTATTTTTTGAAAAATGACTTTCAAAAATGTCCATATAAGCATTCTCTTTTTGTTAAAATTGGGAATGGCTCTATATGGATTAAAAAAGAGCCCCAAGGGCTCTGGGCTATATGTGATGTTCTGAAATTCGAAACTTATTGTTCTTTTGAAAAAATGAACTGTTTCAAAAAATGTCCATAATGAAGCACGGGCTTGGTATAGTCGCATCGAAACTTATTTTTTGAAAAATGACTTTCAAAAATGTCCATATAAGCATTCTCTTTTTGTTAAAATTGGGAATGAGGGCCAAATGCTTATAGTTTGCTTATATGTAGACGATCTTATATTTACCAAAAATGACAGTAGAATGTTTGAAAAATTCAAGACATCTATGATGGCTGAATTTGAGATGTCAGACCTTGGAAAGATGCATTATTTTCTAGGCTTAGAGGTAGTGCAATCTAAGATGGGGTTTTTTGTTTGTCAAAAGAAATATGTGCAAGAAATTTTGGATAAATTTCAGATGAAGGATTGTAATCCTGCATCAACTCCATCTGAATTTGGTTTAAAACTTGACAAAGATCCCGAAGGAAAGAAGGTGGACAACACTCTTTATAGGCAAATTGTTGGTAGTCTCATTTATTTGACCGGGACAAGATCGGACATCATGTATGCAGTGAGTCTTATAAGCAGATTTATGGAGAGTCCAACTGAAATGCACTTGCTTGCCACAAAGAGAATTCTTCGTTACTTGCAAGGAACAAAGGATTTCGATTTGTTTTATAAAGCCAATGAAGAGTCAAAATTAATTGGCTTTACTGACAGTGATTATGCAGGAGATCAAGATGACAGAAGGAGCACTTCAAGACACATTTTTATGTTCGGAACTGGACCTGTTTCATGGTCTTCCAAGAAGCAGCCCATTGTCACTTTGTCAAGTACAGAAGCAGAATTTGTTGCTGCTACGTCTT